ATACCTTTACTACTCTTGAAATTTTCAAATAATGTATCATCTTCTTTCTCCCATAGAAGCCATTGTAGGACTTGTAACCTTTGCATTTCCACTCTATTTCCTATGGACCAAAAAACAATCAAAAATCTTAAACCCACTGCCTCCAAAAATCCCAGGTGGATGGCCAGTAATCAGCCATCTCTTTTATTTCAAGAACAATGGCGATGATGACCGCCATTTTTCTCAAAAACTCGGAGACTTAGCTGACAAATATGGTCCCATCTTCACATTCCGGTTAGGGTTTCGTCGTTTCTTGGCGGTGAGTAGTTATGAAGCAATGAAAGAATGCTTCTCTACCAATGATATCCATTTCGTCGATCGGTCAGCTTTACTTTACGGAGAATACCTTTGCTATAACAATGTCATGCTTGCTGTTGCCAAATATGGCCCTTACTGGAAAAAAAAATCGAAAANAAAATCCCAGGTGGATGGCCAGTAATCGGCCATCTCTTTTATTTCAAGAACAATGGCGATGATGACCGCCATTTTTCTCAAAAACTCGGAGACTTAGCTGACAAATATGGTCCCGTCTTCACATTCCGGTTAGGGTTTCGTCGTTTCTTGGCGGTGAGTAGTTATGAAGCTATGAAAGAATGCTTCTCTACCAATGATATCCATTTCGCCGATCGGCCAGCTTTACTTTACGGAGAATACCTTTGCTATAACAATGCCATGCTTGCTGTTGCCAAATATGGCCCTTACTGGAAAAAAAATCGAAAGCTAGTCAATCAAGAACTTCTCTCCGTTAGTCGGCTCGAAAAATTCAAACATGTTAGATTTTCTATAGTTCAGAAAAATATTAAAGAACTATATGATGGTGATTCACCAATGGTGAAGATAAACCTTAGTGATTGGATAGATAAATTGACTTTCGACATCATTTTGAAAATGGTTGTTGGGAAGACCTATAATAATGGACATGGAGAAATACTGAAAGCAGCTTTTCAGAAGTTCATGGTTCAAGCTATGGAGATTGAGCTCTATGATGTTTTTCACATTCCATTTTTCAAGTGGTTGGATCTTACAGGGAATATTAAGGCTATGAAACAAACTTTCAAAGACATTGATAATATTATCCAAGGTTGGTTAGATGAGCACATTAAGAAGAGAGAAACAAAGGATGTTGGAGGTGAAAATGAACAAGATTTTATTGATGTGGTGCTTTCTAAGAGGAGCAACGAACATCTTGGCGATGGTTACTCTCATGACACCACCATCAAAGCAACCGTATTCGTAAGTAAATTAATCTCTGCCTGCATTTTAACATGTTGTAGGAGGCAATTTATCTTATATTTTAGGTTACTACATTCGTATATATATAATATCACTTTAATTTTTATAGACTGATTTTTTAAGTGGCTTAGTGGTGTATAGATTCTTCTACACTTTCAGTATTTCGAAGTCAAACATTAATTTATGGATTCAGGTGATAAACTCTATCACCGTAGGTAATGAATTTTTATATTTTTGGTATATTTTAACCTATTGTAGCAATGGATTTCAATTAAAGAAAAAAAGAGGCTTTTGTACCTTTATAACATATCTTCAATTTGACTGGAGTATTTTCATTTTTTTCTTAACCAACTCATGCATACTAGGATATGAACAATCANTCCAAAATTGTCTGACCAGATCCAGTACAGATCCAATACCCACACTCATACTAGTGTCGTGTCGGAGCAACTTAGATCAAAACACTAACCTAGTAAGTGTATAATGCTCAATTAACACCGTGAACATGCTTATCTTCACAAGTCAAAAAGAAAAAATGTGAGACAATCCTCCAATTCTCTTTTATTACTGAAAATGAAGCAGGAACACTTACAGTGGAGGATGAAATGGTCTTTCACGAAGCTGTAAAAGAGAATGGATTTAATATAAGAATAATGTCACTAACCTAGCCTTCTCGGAATCCATCCTGGCATTAATGAACTTATGGTGAGCATAAGTTCATTATGCCATGAGTTTGCTTTACTTGGTAGAATGAGAAACAAAATGGGACTATTGTAAACTAACATTAATCCAAGTCATTGTTTGTAAATACCTGCTACTTTTTGTGTTCTTTATAGTTACTTGTTGGATTTTATGCATGCATTTCATAAACTAATACTTGTACCTAATTTTCACTTGCACGCTCTAACTTTTGTGATTTTTTTGACATTTCTCTTTCTAAATTCGCTTCTAAGATTAGTGATGCCCGTAAAGTGTTCGATATACTGTCTATTAGAAAAACCTCTAAATCTGCACTATTCTGATTTTTGTGAGTCTGCATGTGCTTCATACTTGCAGAAAAATATAGATTTTGAATCACCAACATTTAACCAATTAATCCTTGACTTCTGTTTTGCTATGCCCTCTTCTATAAGTATCTACTTTTCCAGATGCAGCTTCAGTCCCCTTTCCTACTTGAATAACCCAGGAATATGATTGGTATTTCTCATTTGTACCTTTATATCTTCCAATATTTCTCTGATAATGCTGATTCTAACTTCAACCCCATTGAACTCTTTTCTGTTAAGTTGTTTCAGGACCTACTTCACATTCTTCAGTTTTCCCCCGTAATGACCCGATCGATCGTATTGAGTATTTGCACTTCGCTTGCCAGTTCTCGGGCATGACTAGCCCCGTATAATGTATTATGACTTATGTGAATTGTCGGTTTTTGTTTTCAGGTTATCCGAAATTTGATTTGGGAGAAAGATTCTCAGCTTAAAGCTTTAAATTTGAAAGTGTTGACCTTTTAGTATTCGATCTCGGATTTGAATTTTATGAGTTGGTAAGCTCCATTGGGTGATTTGGACCTGTAAGAACGTTCGGAATGTGATTTGGAGGTCTGTGGTAGGATTAGGCTTGAATTGTCCAAATTGAAAATTTGATGATTCCCGGACGGTAGTGGAAAATTGATATTAGAGTCGGAATGGAATTCAGAGAGTTGGAGTAGGTTCGTAGTGTCATTTGTGACGTGTGTGCAAAATTTGAGGTCATTCGGATGAGATTTGATAGGTTTCGGCATCGGTTGTGAAAGTTTGAGGTTTCAAGTCCATTAAGCTTGAATTGGTGTGCGTTTCATGTTTTTATTATTGTTTGAGGTGATTCGAGAGCTCGGTTGAGTTGATATGATATTTTAGGACTTGATGACGCATTTGGTTGAGGTTCCGAAGGCCTCGGATGTGTTTCAGGTGAATTTTGAGTGAGTCCGGGCATTACCGGAACTCAGGCATGGTTCTGATGCTTAATTTTCGCTAAGGGCGAAGGAATTTTCGCTGAGGGTGGAATAATTTCGCTGAGGGCGGAATTTGGGTCGCGGTGGCGCTCAGGGAAGATGTGCAGATTTGTTGGTCCGACTTCGGAAGCCTATATCATTTGATCTACTAGAAAGTTTGAGATGATTCAAAAACAAAAGTTGTAGTCTTTCATGTTTAGTTTTCAGAAAGGTAAGGAAATTATCATTAGGACATCTATAAAGAAAGTTATGGCCAAAATACTAAGGCCTGTCTGTGCAGCCCCCAGAAGCGCAGACCGCTACTTTTTCGCGACCGCGGAGGGGTGAGCGCTGGGGCGGTGATTTTTGTCTGTCAACGGAAATGGTAATTCGAGAGGTGCACTATAAATACGAGATTTAGAGTTTTATTTCATATTGTGACCTAGATAGATCGGATCTTGGCGATATTTCGAAGGTTTTTCAAGAAATTCTTCGGGGTAAGTGATTCTCACTCAGATTTGGTTAACATACATGAATATATCATTGATTTCATCATTTGATTAGTACTTTGAGGTGAAAAAATTGTGAAAATTTCATAAAATGAATATTTGAGATTTGATTGTCGATTTGGAGTCGGATTTGAGTAAACCTAGTATGGTTAGTCTCATAATTGAATGATTTGTGGGATTTTGTGACTTTGATCGGATTTTGAAACGTGGGACCGGGACCCGGCTTTTGAGTTGAGACTTTGACTTTTGGCCTTAAGCTTAGTATTTTCTTATGGGATTGCTCCCTTTTGCTCGTGTTAATTGTATCGAATTGTTTGTGGCTAGATTCGAGATATTTGGAGGCCGGTTCAAGAGGCAAGGGCATTGCGGAGTAGAGGATTGACCGGGTTGAGGTAAGTAATGATTGTAAATGTTGTCCTGAGGGTATGAAACCCTGGATGTCACATCGTTGTACCATTTTGAGGTGACACACATGCTAGATGACGAGCGTGAGGGGCGTGCACCGTTGGGGATTGTGACTTGGTCCGTCCTGTTGCAACCATTGAGTTGCACATTTGACTGAAACTACTTGATACTACCATATATTTACAAAGTATTACTATGTTTTGGGCTGAATACCAACTGTTTGGACCCTTAGGAGCTTTCTTTACTGAAATTTCTCATTGTTTTGATTTAATAACTGTACTCAGTCATGCAATATTTTACTAATTTCATAACTCAGTCTTTATTACCCCATTCTTATGCATAAAATGATATTTTGGGCTGAGCACCCTATTTTACTGATATCCCGAGTGGCTTGAGAGGTTTCTGACTGAGTGAGGCCGAGGGCTTATTTTGTGAGGATATTATGGGATCGAGCTGCACACCACAGCAGATTGTTACCGATTCATGATATTGTGAGACCGAGGGCCTGATTGATTTATGTCACGAGGTGGCTTATTGTTGTTATGAGGCCGAGGGCCTAATTGATTTATGCCATGAGGTGGCTTGTTATAGAGCTTGGGTTGTAGAAGCCCCTCCAAAGTTTGTACACCCCCAGTGAGCACGGGTACCCTGAGCGAGTGATATGATATTTTTCCTGAGGGATTGTTCTTGATTTATGTTATGCCCGAGGGGCTGTTCTTGATTTTTGCTATGCCCGAGGGGCTATTCTTGATTCATATTGTGCCTGAGGGGCTGATTATAAGAGGTTGTAAGGTTGCCCGAGGGGCTGATTCTGTGTGATGTTATGCCCGAGGGGCGGTTTATGATACTTGTTTTTCCCGAGGGGCTACTCATGATTTTTATCACTGTTACTCTAAATTTCATTGAACCTCTACTGAAAACTGTTGAAAATTATCTTCAAATGGTTTTTACTTAAATTGGATTTTAAGAGAGATGATTTGACTCATATCCTGATTTAAAGGCATGTTGTACTTACTAAGTTTTCATGATGCGGATTTTATGTGTTTCCTACTGCTCAATCTTTATTTACTTTTATTACTTACTGAGTTGGCGTACTCACATTACTCCCTGCACCTTGTGTGCAGATCTAGGGATTTCTGAACCCGGTAGCACGTGTTGATTACTCAGTGGCAGGTCCATCAGAGTTAGCAAGGTAGCTGCCTTGCGATCGCAACCATGTTTTCCTCCCTCTTTATCCTCCCTTAGTTGTAGTCGGTTATTTCCAGGCTATGTTAGTCTCGTTGTTGTTAGACGGTTGTAGTAGATGCTCATTGATAGTGACACCCCGATGTCGGACTTATGTTGTTTTCTGCACTTGTTATTTAGACGCATGTTATAGGATTTTATCTAATTAATAGTTTAAAACGTTCTTTATTATGAAATATTGGTTATACTTGGGATTGTGTTAGCTTGCCTAGTTCCACAATAGGCGCCATGACGACCGAATCGGTTTTCGGGACGTGACATTCCCAAACATGCTGGATTAGGTGCCCTTGTATAGGTCTCGACCAAGCTTCCTCCACCAATTGTAGGAAAGTAGGATGTAAAGCTAAACAATTAAGAAAACGGAACGGCCTGCTACCTGTCACTAGAGCATTGTCAAAACTAATAGCAATTTGAGAATGATCTGAGAACCCTGGGTCCATGATAGTGGCTTCAAGATATGAGAGTTGTTGCATCCATTCCACAATAACAATAGCTCTATCAATTTTACTAAATACATGGCTATTTGTCCATGTATACTTCCTGCCCATAGACTTCATTTCAACCATGCTAGTCTACATAGACCTTGTGCGTTACTAGCCAGTATTTTTAATTCAACCCACATATTAATATCATGGACAGTATGCAGACCATGTATTGCAGTGAACAAGAACTTTAGGTTCAAACAATTGATTGTAACATGTCCACAAATGAATTGACCCTATGTTCAATCACAACTATCATGCCAACCTTAATTTTATTTAAAAGCTCTTTTAACTCCTTTTGATTGTATACTTTATCCATACCTCTTACATTCCAAGTTATGACTTTTATTGTGGAACCAAATGAGGTATAGTACCAAAGCCTTCACCCCCCAACTACGTTGACCACTTTCATAGATGTTGTTGGTAGGTTCAGC